TAGGAATCACACTGAAGCATCACAAGCTTAGGACAGCCGCACTCAGACTTTTACTGAATCAGCCAATCAAAACAATGTAGATCGTCTGCCTTTGACGAGCATGTCCAAGTATTAACTGATAAAAGGATTAAATGAAAAGTTAAAAGTATAGTGGAGGCTGTGTCGCATTTTTTAAAACAGAGTAAGTCAGAAACGATAAATATCAAAAGTGGGGGAAGGAAAGTAAGATCTTAAGATCGAAGTCCAAAATTATCCCAGTCGCTATACTTGAGAACGTTTTGAAAAGTGGAACTATCACTCAGACGTATCACCACAGACAGCTCATGTATCTTCAGCTACTTCCTGGATGCATGGGTGCATTCTGGTCCCACAACGGAGAAGTATAAGACAAAGCTTAGGCGAGAAGTCCAATGCACTCAACAGCAGTCACTAAAGAGTTCACCTTGCCCCCCCCCCCACACACACACTGAAGCGCGCGCGCACACACACACACACACACACACACACACACACACACACACACACACACACACACACACATATTGCAAACCTGTCAGAATACTCTTACATCTGCAGCTCAGACGACATTTCGTATTAAGAATTATTCAGAAACCTGTCACCACTCAGAGTGACGCTGAAGCACTGTTGTCTGACATTTTATTAACACCCTAGTTTTTGGCCTGGCATGCTTGGTGAGCAAGGGTTCAATTACTACATGATGCATCTACGGACACGGAAATAAGAACAGTTGGCATTACAAACACATAATATAACAACTAAAAGATCGTGTTCAGACAGTGTCTGAACCGAAGGCTCTACTCCGTGTGCCCTTGGAGAAACGTGCAAAAACAATGGCAACTGCACCAGCCTATGCACAGAAAAAATATACTGAACGCCAGTAAAAACGCAACACTTCGTCTGAACACGTTTGTATCAAATGAATATAGATTAAAATTAGTGTTTTTTTTATTAAGTTTATTCAATTTCCAACAAATGTGAACCATGCCAATGAGAAACGATCATGTTTTTATTGTACGAAACATAACATTATGGGTGTTCGTTGCGGAACAGCAGTGCTGTGTAACGTGGAATTCATTCAGGAATATACCTTCTAAAAACGTTCCTTTTAATGCATTTTTGCCGAACGTTCCCCATCTCAGCCTTTGGCAGCTATGAGGTTCTGAAAACATCATTTTAAAAAAAATACCGAGCTACATATATCTATCCTCACAAATTTACAAGAAATTTTATTCCTGTTCCAGACTTTCGACGGTTCGGTAGAGAACATGGAGGACAAAACTCTTAATAACGCGGTGGACTTTGAATATATTCAACTGGTTGTTTATGACATTCACTGCCGACCATTGGGACGTATGTTTTCCAGAAAAAAAGTGACAGATGGTCTGATCGAAGGAATCGCAACTTATCCAGGTGACGCAAATGGTTACGGCCTTGACTTCAGACACTTTATAATTTGTTGATATTTCATTTCAGAATATACAGGGTGATCATAAAAAAACTTAATATTTTCCTCCGCACTGAAGTTTTGCGTTTCACAACATTTGGAAGTCAAAGGGAATTTTTAAAAAACGTGAACATTCCTCTACGACATTTCGTTTCTTTGGCCCATATTCACCTTTCAGGTTATATCAACTCCACACTTAATGCTGTCTACTTGGGCAATCTTACCCCCCCCCTCCCCCCCTTCCCGTTATCTCTAGAAACCCCTCCATACTGCAAGGTGTACAGTGTGTGTGGCTTTGAGTAGATCTACTCATGGTTGAGTGGATCCTTGTGTTTGGTCACTACTGAACTTTACGAACGACGTGTTCAGAGGTGTCTAGTTCAAAGGAGGACATATGGACCATTGATTCTTGGAATTTCTGAATTGAGAAAAAAATAAATCTGTAGGAGAAAAGAAATATTATTTAAAGGTTACAGGGATGGAAAGATTAGATTTTTTTAATAGAAAAGGAAAAAAACCCTAAATCAATCATTTCATGACTTTCCTTACAAGGTATTTTAAATTGGCGCATTTTGCAATTGTAGGTGGTTAAAGTTTTTTTTATGTAAAAAAATCCCTCTTGAGTGAATTATATCTGTTCCAAGTTATAACATTCTAGTACAGATTTTGTGCGAGATATTTAGAAAAAACGTTGTTCATTTTTTAAAATCACCCTGTGTATTGCATTTCTATAAGGTTTGGTCTATGTGAGTGTGTGTGTGTGTGTGTGTGT